CTAGTCCGAGCAATTTATTGGTCTGAGCCATTGTTGCATGCATATGTAGCTATTTTAAAGATTCATGAGCATGCGAAGAAATGGGAAGGGGAACTGGGGAGCTATTTATTCTTGAAATGCATTGCTATCATATGACAATTTACATCAGTGTTCTTTTATATGTTCTTGCTCTGGTGTTAGGCGTGCCGTAAGGCACTAGATCTGAGATGGAGTAAGTTTCAAAGAAATGCAAGTCTCCTGAAGCGTCAGCTGACTTGGCAGTATGCCTTTTACCCTTCTATTGTCCATCTATACAGCATATTTTTTCTGTATTTAACATTTAGCATGTGATGCAGTTTCACATAAGATATGTTATCAACATAATTTTCCTATTTCACTTTGCTAGGTTTAATGGCCACCTAGGAAAGAAGGGGATTAGTGGAAAAATCATAGTCAATTACGAAAAGAAGACCCTTTCTGTCGAGGTGAGTTAGATGCTTACCATGATATGTTTGTACTTATACAATGTGTGTGGCCGTGTGGGTGTGTGTTTAATGCTTTAACTTTAAAATATCTAATATTTTGAGGTCCTGTTTGGTTCAGAATCTGGTAGGAGTTTTGGATGAACACTCATAGCTTCCTGGAGGTTTGATATATAAAAACTGTCCTCATTTGAGGTGTTTGATTCAAAATTAATGGAACAAAACCACCTAGGGGTGGGCAAAAATATGAATACAGAATACGACATTATTCCAAATGAAACCGATCGAGAAGTATGTTTTTAAATGGTTCTAGTAAATTATATCCCAAACACTATCATTCCAAAATTAGAATGGTACGGGATGGATTCTCAAAAAATGAGAACCGAAAATCACGAACTGGACCATTACTATTAAAATGTTAAAATAATCAACTAATTATACTTTTACGTTTGTGATGGTATGCAGATTGAGGACTGAAGAAGATGCTTTACAAGAAAATGTTGCAAGAGCAAAAGATGAATTCAATAATGTTGTCTGTCAGGTATGGCGATGGCCTTTTAACATTTTTCATCTTTGATCATCTTCGTCTTATATAGGTCTAGCTTGCATCATGGTGAGTTTTTATCTTATAGAATAATATGCACCTATCCTTTGTGTTTACATCATAAATACTAATTTTATACTAGTTTAGATTGAGGAAAATGCAAAAAAACTTTCTGGTATTCGTAGTCACATTCGTGAGCTTCAACTTAATCAAAGCAGCAAGGTAAATATAATTTTTCATACACTTAATTCTTGTTTTGAACTTCTTGGGTGGGAGAGATTTGAAGATTCAAATCCAATGGGACGGAGGGAGTATAGTTTGGATTCTTTTAGCTTGCTTATGTAGAGACATGCACATATATATATATAGAGACATGCTTATGTAGAGACAAGCACACACACACACAGATATATATATATATATATATATATATATAATCTGTGTTGGCTGAATTTTGCAAAGCAATGTCTCATCAACTGCTGGTGAGCTGGGTAAGAGTTGTATATTGAATTACTTACTATTCAACTTTTTCTAAATTACTGTCTTGTTTGGACTGAGGGATTACTGTTGGTTGCTCTCCAGAATGTTGATAATGTTGAAACTTAGCTGCATTGTTTGTATTTTGGCGTATATATTTTTTGCTTCTCTTTCTTTGATCACATCCTTCATTTCTTCCTCGAACATCAAGAGATATATCATTCTGATGGGCAGAAAAGGATTAATGAGTTGAATGAACAAATAACCAAGAAGAAAGCACAAATTGCAGCATTAATGGAGAAGACACTAGAATTTAGATCTAAGAAGGATGATCTGAAGCACAATATTTCATTGGTAAGTTGTCCCCATAATATTCTCTTCCCCTGGTCAGTGTTAAAGTGAGCAAGTTCTCAATTGACGGTTGGGTCATGGGCTAACTTTGGGAACCCTTTAAGAACCACGTTGTGTATTGCCTGCAAAATGGTACTTCCTCCTTTTATATATAGTTGTAACATTAGAAAATTCTTGTTTGCTAGTGCACAAATTAAATCATTAATATCTTCAATTTTGTTTAAGTTGAAACTATAAATAAGGATAGCATTAAAGTTTCTTTCAAGATGAATCTAACATGATCCCACATTACTAACGTATAAATCACACAAGATGCTAAAATTTGAATGTGCGAGTAGTGCAAAAATTTGAATGCTGCATCTATTTACATGGAAGGAAGTATTTCAGAGAATGTAGTGTTCAATGTGATCCATCTAAAGTGAAATCTTAATCTATACTCCCTCCGTCCCTAAAAACTTCCCAGTTACTTTTACTATACACAGGGCAAACTCATCATCTTTATTTGCCTATTTTTGTTACTCATTTGGTAATATATAATGTACTCATTTTGATGTAGTTTCTTAACTATATAAAAGGTATTTTTTGATTTTACACCAATTATTAAATAAATTGAATGAAAAATAACTTTAGTCAACCATCATAAACCATAATGGGAATTTTTTTTTGAGGGACCGAGGGAGTAATTTATTAGAGGGGAGATGTTCGGTGTTTTAAAATCTTGGATAACTACATGTTTCCCTCATGCATTCTGCTCAATTCTTGTTCAGTTTGGTGCTGATGATAATCTGATATGTAGATTTTATTTCTTAGGCTACAAAAGATAAGCTTGGTTTGGAAGAAGATTATGGACGCAAAATCAATTACATTCAGAAATTAGAGAAACGACAAAAGCTGCTCGACAAACAAATTCATGATACTCAAGAGCAACACATTAGAAATACTCAGGTGTTTTGCCCCTTGCATTTACATTTCTCTTTGAGTTGTCTAAAAAATGAATAGTTAGATTTATGCATTTGTCATATCATTATACTCATAGGGTAACCTATATCATATGCCTCGAAATGAAAACAATGATATATACTGTGTTCTTAAATGTGCTAGGTGTGGGGAAGATATGGTTGTCTTTTTATGAATTAATGTGAATTATGCTTTACTCTTGCAGTAGACCAATGTTAAAATGTATATAAGCTAATTACAGATGGAGAACAACCATCACCTTCGATTTAGGCTATAGCAAATATGTAAACCAAATTAACCAATAGAAAACTATGTTCCCCACTTTTTTCTTTCCTCCTCAAAGACTTG